TTTGGAGGTTTGAGTAAGATCCTTCCTGATGGGTGTTCTGTGCTATAGCTATTCACACCCTTTCTGTGGGATGTTTGGGTGATTTCCAGTTCTCTCCCATAGGAATAATGTGGGGCTAAGCATTTTTGTTTGCAAACCTTTGGTTATATCTTAGATTATTCCCCACCACCACCACCACCAGAGGATGAATTCCTAGAAGTGGAATTACGCAATTTAAATAAATACACTTTCTTTTATGACATATATCGCTAGAACACTGTACACTGTACACTGCAGACTCCTCTGAAGAGTCCCTGAGAGTGCCCTTTCCTCCCCATCAACCCAACTTCCAGTTCACTTGCCAGAGTCCCGGAGGTTTGGGACCCGGTGGCGGCGCGGACCCCAGCGCCCTCCGCATCCCCAAGGCGCGGGCTTTGGCGGCTGCCCCGCTCCATCTAAATGGCCTTCGCACACGTCTCTGATCTGAAGCCCTTTTTCCAAACCGCGAACCTGCCCTGACAGCCCCCTGCTGAAATCTCTCAGCAGCTCCTCCGGGACCCCAAGACAAAAGGCTGGAGCGCAGGACGCGGCTGGTCCCCCCAGCAGCTCGGCCCCAGGCCCTGCGGCCCGCGCACTTCATTCTCGCAGCGATTTCCAACATTTCACCTCCTGGCCCGAGAGCTAACTGCTCAAATTCCGCAGCACGCCAGAAAGTGTTTTTCATCACGATCTGACACGCACAAAAGTAGGTACAATTTTTGGACCATTCCCACTGGACGGCTACTGCTGTGTCGGCTGTTGTGATTTTTTAAACTTGACACTCTCAGGGAAAAGAGCCCAGTGCCCCTGACTGAATAGTCAAGTGTCCCATGTTTTCATTCTTGCAGTGCCCGGCCTTGAGCGCTCCCATCACTGGCCATTGCCCCTCCATATGTAAGGCCAGCTTGGGCATCCCTCCTCCCACCTTACTGCTCCTAATGTGTCCATTGGTCTGTCCCCCCGACTGGACGTGTCAGCCTGGGTTCAGGTCCACCCGCGCTGCATCCCAGTAAACATTTATGAACGAGTTGGGGAGCCAGAGCCTTGGGGGAGACCGAGCCAAGCCCTCACTCCCCTCTCCTGGACCATTTTTCTAAAACACAGGACACCCTGCTGAGGTCACAGGGCTCAGTCCTGGGACTTCTTCAGGNGATGTTTGGGTGATTTCCAGTTCTCTCCCATAGGAATAATGTGGGGCTAAGCATTTTTGTTTGCAAACCTTTGGTTATATCTTAGATTATTCCCCACCACCACCACCACCAGAGGATGAATTCCTAGAAGTGGAATTACGCAATTTAAATAAATACACTTTCTTTTATGACATATATCGCTAGAACACTGTACACTGTACACTGCAGACTCCTCTGAAGAGTCCCTGAGAGTGCCCTTTCCTCCCCATCAACCCAACTTCCAGTTCACTTGCCAGAGTCCCGGAGGTTTGGGACCCGGTGGCGGCGCGGACCCCAGCGCCCTCCGCATCCCCAAGGCGCGGGCTTTGGCGGCTGCCCCGCTCCATCTAAATGGCCTTCGCACACGTCTCTGATCTGAAGCCCTTTTTCCAAACCGCGAACCTGCCCTGACAGCCCCCTGCTGAAATCTCTCAGCAGCTCCTCCGGGACCCCAAGACAAAAGGCTGGAGCGCAGGACGCGGCTGGTCCCCCCAGCAGCTCGGCCCCAGGCCCTGCGGCCCGCGCACTTCATTCTCGCAGCGATTTCCAACATTTCACCTCCTGGCCCGAGAGCTAACTGCTCAAATTCCGCAGCACGCCAGAAAGTGTTTTTCATCACGATCTGACACGCACAAAAGTAGGTACAATTTTTGGACCATTCCCACTGGACGGCTACTGCTGTGTCGGCTGTTGTGATTTTTTAAACTTGACACTCTCAGGGAAAAGAGCCCAGTGCCCCTGACTGAATAGTCAAGTGTCCCATGTTTTCATTCTTGCAGTGCCCGGCCTTGAGCGCTCCCATCACTGGCCATTGCCCCTCCATATGTAAGGCCAGCTTGGGCATCCCTCCTCCCACCTTACTGCTCCTAATGTGTCCATTGGTCTGTCCCCCCGACTGGACGTGTCAGCCTGGGTTCAGGTCCACCCGCGCTGCATCCCAGTAAACATTTATGAACGAGTTGGGGAGCCAGAGCCTTGGGGGAGACCGAGCCAAGCCCTCACTCCCCTCTCCTGGACCATTTTTCTAAAACACAGGACACCCTGCTGAGGTCACAGGGCTCAGTCCTGGGACTTCTTCAGGTCCTAGGGCTGTGGCCACCTCTCTGGGCCTCTATCCCTGTCTGTAAGACAGGGATGACACCAAGACCTTTTGGGGACCCAGAGCGGGAGGGTCTGCCCCTAAATTGATTACTACCTGCTGGGTAGGTACATCTTACCCCTGCCTCCTTTTTTCTGCCCTACCCAGAGGAGCAGGGTGAAGAGAGTGAGGCAAGTCTTAGGTGCAAAAATTTAAGGGGTGCAGAAGCTCAGTCATAAAGATAAAAATATTTTAATAAAATATTAAAGGTAAAAATCAATGCAAATAAATCCACAATGGACAGAAATGCCACCTCTTTCAATAAAGCTAATGTCTGCCCAGGCCTGCTCTCCTGCTGACTCTCCCTTCTTCCACATCTTCCCCCCACGACGCTGGGCTCCTTACCTGTCCCTCAGGCTCCGACGGCTGCTTCCTGCTGGGTCTTGGGGGCCTGGAGCCCTGCTCTGAAGCGCTGCTGCCAAGGACAGCAGGCCGTGGCCAGGTCCAGCAGCATCAGGGGCCAGCACTGCTTGGGGCCAGGGCTCTGCCCCGCGGAGTCCTCGTGGCCCACTTGGCTCGTCCTGGACCTCATCTGCCTTCAGGGTCAAAGGCACCTCCAGCCTGACCTTCAGCGTGAGCTCCCTGGTGGGGCGAGTGCTGTTGGCAGGTGCCCCTGGTCCTCACTGAGTGGCCATCCCAGTATGCCCTGGACTGAATGGCCCCATCCTCTGCCTGGGCCTTCTCTGGTGCCTGTCCCCAGTGCCTGGTCCTCTCCAGGGTTGTTACCCCTTAGAGTGGCATCTGCCACCTGCCCTGCTGTGGTTGGGATCCAGAGCTCAACCATCCCCCACCACAACCCCAGCTGGCCCCACCCCCTGGACGCTGGGTGGGGCACACCCACTCCTGCCTTCTTTCCCCAGGTCCCCAAGGGTGCCTGTGGTATGTGGAGCATTTCCCTGGGGCCTGGTGGGGCTGTGGAGGGCAGCCAAGCTCCCACTGGATGAGGAATTAAGTTCTCTAGGGGTGGGCCTGGGGGTCCTTTTCTGACCAGGGCCCCAGGCTGGGCCCCAGGCTGGGTCCCTGCGCACTCCACTCCTGCCAGTCAAGCCTGGCCCCTACGTGGCTGGTTTGGTCAAGCCCGGTAGGTTTGGTCAGCTCCTCACTCAGCTCCTCAGCTAGCCAAGGGTCCTGGGGGGCGTGATCTATACCTTTGCCTCTGATCCAGGAGTCTTGTGTCTCCTGCCAGCACCCAGGAGTCTGTGGCAGGTTTACTTCTCAGCTTGCAAGTAGAGTGAAAATTCTCAGACCCCCTGCTGTTCTTGACAATGACCATAAAGAGCAGGAAGAAAGAGGGAAGCTGATGATGGTGGTCAGGACTTAATGGCTTGACCAAACTTATCAGAGTAGCTTCCAAGGCTCTCCAGCCGGATCTTCCCACCCCACAAACACTGCTTAGGCAACTTCTGAGGAATAAGATCGAGTGCTGAGGGCTGGATTACACAACATACACACCCCTGGCCTTGGGGACAGTCAAGGCCCTGAAGAGTAACAAACTATGGGTGCCCTGGGGGCTCCTGATCCAGTCCAGCTTCTCCCCATTGGGGTGCTTGGCCCACTCCAGCCTCTGACCTTGGGCTCCTGGTACCTTGGGGGTTGAGACAGAGTCTGGCCCAGGGATTCAGGCTGAAGCTGCTCCTCTCTCATCACCCTTCTGTGGGTGTGACACTCACCCCCTGCCCAGGACCCAGAAGGTGCGGTTCTCCCAGGGACAGCCCCAGGTCTTGGGAAGAAGGGGAGCTGCCCCCAATGCAGCATCCTCAGGGCCCTCCTCCCCCAGCCCTGCACCGACAAGACCTCTGGGCAGACACCACCACAGGCCACATCCTCCTGTGGTGGCTGCGGTTGGAAATCTGGGTCTGGCTGGACCCTGGGGACCCTTGTGGGATGGGCTGGGCCTTCCAGCTGATACAGCTGCAGCTCTGACCCATCCAGGCCTGCTCCCCACCCCCTCCCTAGTCTCAGATGTGCTGAGGGCTGGATTCAGGGTGGGCCAAAGGAGTCTGGGCCCAGCTGTCTGGATGATTAGAGGCTCAGGGTTTCTGGCTCCTCTGCATCCCGCCCCTGCCCTTTCCTGGAGTGGAGGGGTGTAACCCTGCCCAGTCACTTCTGCCCTGCTCCCTGTGTCAGAAGGCACCCCCTGCCTACCGCTGATCAGTCTCCTGCCCACTCTCCATCCCACAGGCCCGAGAGACCCTGCCCGAGGCATGGACTCCTCTCCCCTGGCTCAGGTCTCCCCAACTCTTCATTCCCCTCCATTCCCAAACTCAAGCCACTGGTCCTTCTCATCTCATCTTGAGCATTTCATTGTCTTTCCTATGGGAGGAAGGGAGGTCTGAGGCAGAGGGTGACAAAGTATCCACCTAGGGATATAATAAGGGTTCTGGACTCTCTCAGAGTCCTTAGAGCCAGGGTCTGGCTCTGCAGCTCCTGAGTCCCTCTGAGGGGTCTCCAGGAACCCTGAAGACCCTGGCTCCTCTGGTGATCCTGGGAGTATAGCCCTCTCTAGCAGATGGGGAGAGAATACTGCTGGTTCTCCAGATAACACAGACTCACCACCCTGGTGGGTATCTTCCAGCTCCTTCTACTGATGAGAAACGGGCACAGAGAGGGAGAGTTTCTTTCCTAAGACACACTGCAACTTGGGGTAAAGACCATATCCTGGGCCTTACCAGGACCAGCGAGACCTGGGAGGACCAGCCTTTTTGGACATGGGGTAGGGCCAGCCTGGAACTGGGGAGCTTTGGGAAATTTCAGTGCTTTAACTTCTAATTCTCCCAGTCCAGCTGCCTGGAGTGCAGCCGGAAGGAAAGAGTCCAGTAGGGGACAGCAGAGACCAGCAGTAGAGGGAGGCAACGCCCCAGAAAGGACTGGAGCTCCAAGGGGAAGGCAGCCGGGAGACCAGGTGAGGGCTCCACTGGAGGGGGCCGGAGCTGGATCAGGACTCTGGTCCTGCATCTTCCCCGGCACCCACCTCACCCCTGGAACTGGAACCCAAACCAGAACCAGGTCTTGGAGAGGCAAGTGAGGCGACCTGTGCCTGCCTAGGGTGGGATCCTGACTTTACTTAACAGTTTCGATATTTCATTTATTATAGAATATTTTTTGTATTAATTTTGATTTCAAAAAATTTTGCATTAACTATTATTTATGTTGATTAGTGAGTTTTGGGACACTGCCTTAAATTTCGCATGCAAGGACAATGTCTTACTCGCCTCATGCCTCACTCTAGTCCTGGCTGGGTCTGGAACTCAGGACACCTGTTATTTCCAGCTTGGGGGGGGGGATAGGGGGTGCTGCTGGAATGGGTGTGGTCAGCACCCTGCAGATCCTGCTCCACCTGACCAGGTGGCTTTCATTTGCGTAGCAGAACCTTATTTTCCAGGCCCTTGCCAAATGCTTGATTGACACCTGGGAAGGGCACAGGCCCATCATGAGGAGACTGCCCGGCAGGTGGTGGCTTTCTAGCAGCCACAGCTCCTTTAGCTGTTCCACCAGCAGCAATCAGCCTAGTGATACCTAGCTGGGGCCCCCGGTGGTCCAGTCTCCCTTATTCCACTCACAGGAAGCGCTTCGGTTGCCAAAGCCAACGTGATTTCTATTCAATTCTTATTTTATTATTGCAAAAAGCCCACACGCCTTCACGTCTATTTAGAACTGTATGTGGCATATAGTACTATTGCATTGCATGTTGCAAATTAAATGATTGCAAACAGTCTAGTGACTTACCTTGTTTTTTAAAAAGTAAATATAAAATAAATAAATGATCACATAAAGTCGCCTTATTTTAATGTTGATCTCACCAGAAATGCCTTTAATTTTCAGTGATTTTAATGATAGTCCTCAAATGCCCATTAACATGTTAACTTGTATTGAAAAATAGAGTCAGACAGGTTCTAACAGAAATGTACCTGAACAGTATCTTTGACAGTGTAGACTGGATTTGCCAGTTAGGTTACACAGTGGGACTTTTCCATAGATTGAGTGACACAAATCGGCAGCCCCAAGTTCTGGAGGAAAAATATAGTTAAAGCTCATTATGGGATAAAAGCACTTTTCTTGAGAGATATTGTATTGGCAATGATGCACTGTAATTATAGATATTCTAATTTTTCCCAATCTTTTAAATATATGCCTTACACAGGGGCTTCTGTGGAGGAGTAGCAAATTTAGCTATTAAGTTCTGGTCAGGCCTTCTGGGTGCCTATCCCAGAAACTGAGAAGGTTGATCACAAATGACTGGGTGACACCTCTCGGAAGGTGGTTCCCCAAGAAGCTGACTCGAGGAAGGAGTCAGCTTGTAGGTTCATTAGGGAGAGTGCTTGGGACCAACTTCTGTGCAAGCGATGGGCATAGGGAGGAACCAGTTGCAGCACAGGCTCACTCTCAGTGACTCCTCGGGGAGCCCTGCTGCTGGAATGGCCCTTCCCAGCTCCCCCTGGTGGGCTGAGGGGCCAGGCCTTCGGACCCTCACATTGATCAGGCTTCAGAGGCCAGCTGCCCAGGGCAGGAGCACGCACAGGGTGAGGTGTCTCCATCAAGGGAGCTGATAGATGAGGGCAGAGCTGTCTGCAGGCATCACACCCAGCAGATGGGGCCACAAGCCTTTTATTCCAGAAGATGGTGTAGAAAACAGTCCATCAAACGAATCCTCTTATGTCAGGTGGTCTCCGACTCTTTGCTTCCCCCCAAAATTAAAAGAGTATGAGATAGAACTGTCGGCTGATAAATCACTAAAAAATAATTTTTTGACAATCAATCACTAGTGATTGTTGATATATAACTACAAAGGAGTTCAGATCAGTGAGTGACACTGCATTACAAAACTTCTATTTATGACCAAACTTTCTCTGTTTCACATAAAAGTGAAAGAACAGAGTTGACCCAGGACAAGGCTTCATTCTAGCAGTAAGTGGTGTTCATTGATGGATCCTTGAGTCAACACTGTTTAAAAATTACTTATGAACATTTTAATACATGTATGTTGTTTTGATCAAATATTGCCACGAATGATGGAAGAAAATCATATAACAAAGTCAAATTTCAAGTTTAAAATGTAAATTTAGTGTATATTTTTACAACAGAGATGGATGACAGGATAACAAATAAGAGGTCTTTCAGGTCTAAAAATATATGAGCAGATTGGCTTTGTAAAGGACATGGAATGGAAACAGTTCAAGGAGAAGACAGAGGAAAACTCCCAGATGTTTGATGTCAGAGAAAGACCACGATGCATTCGCTTCCATTTCATATATGTAAAGGAGTGATGTTATGACAGATGTCACCTTACAAGGCCGCGTGGGCCCTGGCGAACCCCAGGTCTTTTAGAGGGAGGCTGGTGGTGGCGGCCAGGCCTTGGCTGCGCCCGCTCCCCCTCCTCACCAGCTGCCCGAGTGTCTCTGGCACAGGGAGGTTATAAACCAACAGCGAGAATGGCCGCCACGGGTCAGGGGCCAGCTCCGGCCGGGCACTTGCCTTTTGGCATCTCGAAACTTCTCACCACTTCTGAGAGAAGGGAGTGAAGGAGCTGAGCCTGGAGAGGGGATACGACTGTCCCCCAGCTCAGTTAGCAGGGGGACCTCTGGATCCACCAGTGCTGACAACAGTCTCCCTAACTCAGAGGAGATCCCACCTGACATTTCTCAGCTGGATAAACAGAGGTGCTGGGAGGACAGAACCTGCTCAGCGTCTCCCAGCCCTGGAGGGGCCCGGTCAGGGCCAGGCGATGACAGACCCTGAAGCCTGGCCCACAGCTGCTCAGACAGCAGGCGAGAGTGAGCACCAGGCCGGGGTGAGGAGGTTTATGTCGCACTTCCCCATCTCTCTGTGCACTGTGAGTCAATGCCAGCTGCTCCCACTACCATCACCTACTGCACAGTAATAGTCGGCCTCGTCCTGGGCCTGCACCCCGCTGATGGTCAGGGTGGCCGTGTTCCCCGAGTTGGAGCCTGAGAATCGGTCAGGGATCCCCGAGGGCCGGTTTTTATCATCATAGATNACAGTAATAGTCGGCCTCGTCCTGGGCCTGCACCCCGCTGATGGTCAGGGTGGCCGTGTTCCCCGAGTTGGAGCCTGAGAATCGGTCAGGGATCCCTGAGGGTCGTTTGTTATCATAATAGATGACCAGCACGGGGGCCTGGCCTGGCTTCTGCTGGTACCACTGAGCATTTTTACTTCCAATGCTGTTTCCACCGCAGGAGATCCTGGCCGTCTGTCCGAGGCTCACGGAGACCGAGGATGGCTGTGTCAGCTCATAGGAGGCCACAGAGCCTGCAAGAGGGGGCAGGAGAGGTTAGATTGTGGCTGAGGGGCTCATGTCTAGGAAACCCCCCTGCCTGGCCTGGCCTGAGCTCCAGGCAGTCTCTGTCCTCAGGGCAGCCCTCTCATCAGTCTCAGCCTCAGCAGCCTGTGGGCCTGGCTGGTGGATGGCCCCACTGAACAAGGCGAAAACCCCTGTGCCTCAGGCTCCCTCAGAGCCAGTGAGCCCAGTGGGGGTTCACCCCACCAGCCCCACAGCCAGCAGCAGGGTCAGGAGCATCCTGCCCCCACAGGCAGCGCCCTGCTGAGCTCAGAGTCAGGGCCAGGCTTGTCCAGGGCCCTGGGCTGGGGTGGGTGTGAGCCTGGGTGCGGCACCTGTGCAGTGAGCCAGGAGGCCCAGGAGGAGAGGGGTCCAGGCCATGGTGGGGGTGCCCGATTCTGCTCCCTGAGGCCGAGGCTGGGCAGGTTTCCTCCCAGGCCTCTCTTATCCTCTAGTGGAGAGAGCTGCGGGGATGCAAATCAGCCAGGGTGCAGGGCCTGCCTGAGGGGCTTTGTGGTTTCAGAGAAGAACTCAGCCCCATGGGCCCTTGGCCCCGCCTTCCCTCCAGGGGATCCTCTCTCTTCTGCGGGTCCAATAGCCTGGGGCCGACATCTGCACCCCAGACTATGTTCTCTCCTTACTCCTGGGCTGGTCACAGCAGACCTCAGGGGTCAAGTCTTTCTGCATTTTCTGAAGCCATTCTACATGTGACACTATGAATCTTAGATCGGGACAGTGACATAGTGACATTTTTTCTTTCAGGTGCTACGTCCTGGTTCCAGCAACATGGTTAACGCTGCCTGCATGTGACAATCTCCAAGGCTGCTCTAAAAACCTTGATGGCCATGCTTTTGGCGGGTGACTCTCTGCTGCCCCCTGGTGGTCCCTCCACACTGGCGGCTCAGGGGCATCATCCCGTGTCCAGGGGTAGATTCCGAGCCCACTGCTCAGGCGATTCCCTCATCCGTGGACTGCTGCCCCAGGGGAGGACCTGCTCTTCTCTCTGTGACCCCGCCTGTCCCTGACCACGCACAAGGGGCTCAGAGCACTCATGGACACCTGAACCTGCCCGTTGGGAGGAGGAGGGGGGCTGTGTGGGTCAAGCCTATGGATGGCGATGCCATGAGCTAGGAGATCCTGAGGCCTGGCCCAGCCCATATTACTTGTAGGATCCAGCAGAGACATTTCCCCCACCAGGATCACTGTTGTCGCTGGACAGGCCCTGTGGTTCTTATGTTTTCAGGACGCACTTCAGCAAAAACCACCAGGGAACTTTGTGGAACAAGATGTATTAGTTCTCACAAGTCCTGGAGGGCACACACACAGTGAGGTCATGGGGGGGGGCTGGGGGGGGAGAGAGAGAAGAGAGAACCTGGGGCTCTTTATTAGAGTCCCAGGGTGAGGTGCCCAGGTTTTTGGGGGTTCACTGTTATTGGCTAAACTGAAGCATAAAAGCAGGAATTAGGGCTAAGGAAGGGAGAAGCAGGGTCACTTAAACTGGCAGTCATCTAGGTTACCCAGGGCTTTCTGAAAGAGGGGCCTTCGTGGCTGGGTTGCTCTGCTAGGAGCTCCTCTGGTGGTTTTGGGGGTAGCTGGGTCACACAGCTGGTAATGTTTATTCAAGGTGGAAGTCTTCAGAAATGGATGCCTCGGTAAGGAAATGCTTAATGTCAGGCACTTCAGTACAGGGGCAGGGTTCACCTGAGGCAATCTGCAGGTACCTGAGGGTCCTGGGTAGTCATCAGGGGGATCCTGGGACTTGGCACTGGGGACACGGAACTCGGGATGGGTCTTCTTGGTGCCGGCTGAGGGCACAGGGCTAACGCGGGGCAGCTGTGGCTACTCCACCAAAGACAGAGACAGGAGAACATCCGTCCAGCAAATGCTTATTCAGAGCCACTTGGGCCGACACATTTTGTCCTGGGAGTTCAGCATGAAAAGACACAGTCCCTGCTTGAATGGAGTCCCTTTCCTGTGGGTGGGGCAGTTCAGTGACACGCTGGGTTTGCAGTCACAGTAGGCAGTTCCCACCACCTTCCACCTGTGCATTGCCCCCTCTATTTATTGAAAAGTTGGACACCCTTTCCAGTTCCCAGGTAGGCGGGTTGACCATGTGACCCAGCCGTGGCCCAAGGGGTGTAAGGTTCTGTTGGGTGATTTCTTTCAAGAAATTAATTTTCTAGTGAAGGAAAGAAACAGAGTGGACGCATGCAGCTCCTTCCCTCTTGAATCTGAGTGTGACAGTTGGAGCTGCCATGGCCATTGGGAGGTGTTAAGAGGAAGGAAGCAAAACCTCAGCGGTAGGGATGGTGAAACAGAAAGTGAGAAAGACCTGGGAGCTCAAGGAACTGGGGAGTGTCCGGGAGCAGCCCTCTGACCCGACTTATT